GTCCGTGGAGAACCTGGTAGCCGTGGCGGTCAGAGGGGAGGCCCCACCCCGCTCCTCCGGCTGCCGCTGCCTGTGTCAGCTCCGACAGGGCCCGGACCCTGCCGGGGCTCCGGGGCGCATCTGCAGCCGGCCGGGACGGCGGTGTTCCCGGTTCCCCTGGCCTTGCTGTGTTCGGTCCTTCAAGTGGCAGTGTGTGCGGAGGTCCCCCCGGGAGCGGGGAAGCAGCCCAGCCAGCAGGGAGGGGTGTGCTCCCACGCGATCCCCAGAGGCAGGCGTGCAGGATGAACCACGTCAGCTCGCTCCGCTCATCACGCTTGGGGTGGGCACCAGAGGGCCTGGAGCTCCGGGCGCCCAGCATGGAGACAGGGCAGTGTTTGTGTCCGGCCCGGGCAAGGGGGGAGGGCAGGGGGAGCGGCACTCCGCGGTGGCCCAGTGCCCTCCGGGGACAAGCTGTCGGAGGCCACGCCCCATCACTGTGATGTCGTGCCCACGTCATCCGTTTTCCCTCTGTCGCCAGGGTCTTGGTTAATGGTCCTGTTTTCTTTTGCAACAGGTGGTTTCTCCCAAGGAAGAGAACAAAGCGGCAGGTAATTTCCTGTTCTGTTCTTCCGTTTTATATTTCTGCTGATCAAACTTTAAGTTTTTAGCCAACAGTGTTTCCATCCGGATTAGGTTGGCCTTAAAATTGACCCTAGGCCCTGGCAGGTACACCTCAGTGGACGGAGTGCTGGCCTGGGAGGCAAAGGGTCTCCAGCTCGATTCCCAGTCGGGGCACGTGCCTGGGCTGTGGGCCAGGTCCCCAGTGGGCGGTACGTGCGAGGCAACCACACATGGATGTGTTGATGTCTCTCTCCCTTCCTCTCTAAATAAGTAAAATCGTCTTTTAAAAAATGAGCGTTGGAGCCCGTCACAGACTTGGCCCTGCCTGCCAGCAGTGGCGCCTTGCCCTCTCTGCTTGTCCCTGCCCTCTGGTTTAGACCACAGCGCGCCGAGTCCCCGTGGGAAACGTCCCTGTCAGTGCGGGGGGCCTGTGGAGCGGTGTTTATTGTCAGAGGTCGTGGCGTGGGCCGCAGCACGCACAGGGCCCCGGTGTCCCCACCCTGCACAGCGCGCAGCGGGGCGGTGTGGGGGAAGGGCCGTGTGGTGGGCAGGGTGCCGCGCCTCGGTTCGTACACGCGTGTGTGGCGGGGCGCACGCCGGGTTGCCTCGGTTCCGCGTCGGAAGCAGAGAGCAAGGGGAGCGTCAGCTGAGTGGTGACGGGAGAGGAGGGGAGCGGCGTGGCCTGTCTGCTCGTGTCCGGGTCTGTGCTGCCCGGGCCCCTCGGAGGGCGCGGGGCACCGTTTGTTGAGCTCCCGGTGACGGCGAGCTACGTTTTTCTCAGGGTCTTCAGGGGAACGGTGAGTTCGGCACAAGCAAATGTTGTGGCGCTGAAGGCGCAAACACCGTGAGAGGCTAGAGTGGAGGGACAGGGCTTGGGCCTGGGCGGTGGGCGCCGGGGGGCTTCGCAGCAGGAGCGCGGCCCCCCCCCCCCCCCGGGGTCCTCGTGGGGAGCTGGGGCCCGGCAGCGGCCCTAGCACAGGTGGCTGGGGGTGGGGGGAAGCGGGCCGGCATCAGGGGGGCCTGGCGAGGGCAGGCGCGGGTGGGGGCTGTGGGGCGGGGGTGGGCCCGAGCCTGCAGGCGGTCCCGGCGGAGCTGCGCAGCCGGTGCCGGGAGCTGCAGGGGCGCCGAGAGCACGGCAGAGCAGCACGTGCAGGTGGCCGTGAGACCTCAGCCCAGAGCCCGCACCGGACCTCTGAGAGTTAGTAAGGAAAGAGAAGGTGGGAAATTTTGTTAGTCAAGTTTTGTTGATCATACATTGAAATGATCAAGTTTTTAATGTCACATTAATACTAATTTTGCCTCTTCTGAATGTGGCTGCTAGAAAGTGTAAAGTTACACGCGAGGCTCTCCTTATGTTTCTGCGGGCCAGCCCCGTGCGGGCTGGCTGCTGGGGCCAGGCGGGCTCGGGAGTCAGCCCCAGTTCTGGAGGAGAGGCAGAGCTAGGGGCACAGATCCGTCCGCCTAGAGAGGGGGCGTTCGGTCTCCAAGGAAGATGAGAGAGAGAGACCCTGAACCTGGTTGGTCCAGCCCGTGTGTGAGAGACAGAGGAAACCGAGAAAGTGGTGGGCGGCGCCAGAGCAAGTCGGGTCAGCGGTGTGCAAGCTCGGGCGCAGTGGGGTCAGGAAGAGGGGGCCACAGCACGCAGACGAACGGAAGGACTGGCTGCTTTTTGGGTGGTGTGCGCACACTCGGTAGGCAGCTCCTGGGCTCCGTGGGGCCTGTCTGGGTGACTTAGTGCCCTCACTGCGGGTGCTGGTCACGGGCAGCTGCTCAGCCCTGAAGGGTGGCCTGTGACCTCTGCCCCCAGTGGTCCCAGCCCCCTGGCTGCAAGGGCGCGCCCCTCCAGTTCCCCACTGGCCCCAGGTCACATGCCGCCTCTGCCAGCTGCCACCCGGGGGCACGTGCCTGTGAGGAAGTGGACCGGAGCTGTGCCCTGACCAGGGGACCAGGATGCAACGGTGGCGCTCCCTGTGAGCCCTGGGGGCGGGGACTCCCCGCAGGGGTCGCCTGGTGAGCAGGGAAGGGGGCGGGAGAGCAGAGGGTCGCATTTGCTGGGCTCTTGCGTGTGAAAGGGCTAGTGCGTGGGGGCGTGGCCGAGACGCTCCTCAAGTTCCCCTTAAGGCTTTTGTTCTTACCTGCTCTTCTCCCCCAAAGAAGTCCCTGACAGTTGTACTTGGCTGTGACGTGTTTATTCACATGAAGAGCTACGAGTGCTTTTTAATGTCATGTTTGTCCCTAGATCCACCACCACCTAAAATCCCCAAAATCGAGACCACTCACCCTCCGTTGCCTCCGGCCCACCCACCGCCAGGTCAGTGTCTGCCGAGTCAGCTTTCTCCCGCTTCCAAGGGCAGGCCGGGTGTCCTGGGGCCAGTTCGTAGAGGGGAGACCTCGTAGCCAGACTGTTAGAGGCGGCAGTGACCCAGGGTCTTCCAGAAACCACGTTCACGAACCAGGGACATCAAGGACATAGTAAACTTGGAGTGTGTCTGGACGTTCGCGTCCAGAAACGCAGCGCTCCCCAGGAGACGGGTTCGGGGTCAGTGTGAGGGGAGCGGGACCACCCGCCCGCTTCTGGGCTTCTGGGCGGGGCCGCCGAGGACCTTAGACTCCAGGGCCGGGGGCGCGGCGCTGCAGGGTTGGGGCGCCGTGCGGGGCACTGACCGGCCTCTCCCCCGCAGACCGGAAGCCTCCCCTCTCGGCTGCCCTAGGCGAGGCCGAGCCGCCTGGCCCTGTGGACGCCGGTGAGCTCCCCAAAGTCCAGATTCCTCCTCCGGCCCACCCGGCCCCTGTGCACCAGCCGCCGCCACTGCCGCACAGGCCACCGCCGCCGCCACCCTCCAGCTACATCACCGGGATGTCCACCACCAGCTCCTACATGTCCGGAGAGGGCTACCAGAGCCTGCAGTCCATGATGAAGACCGAGGGCCCCTCCTACGGCACCCTGCCCCCCGCCTACGGCCCCCCGGCGCACCTGCCCTACCACCCTCACGTCTACCCCCCCAACCCACCCCCGCCGCCGGTGCCCCCTCCCCCGACCTCCTTCCCCCCGCCCGCCATCCCTCCCCCCACTCCCGGCTACCCTCCACCCCCACCCACCTACAACCCCAACTTCCCACCTCCACCCCCACGCCTGCCCCCCACACATGCTGTCCCACCTCACCCTCCCCCAGGCCTGGGCCTGCCCCCGGCCAGCTACCCGCCTCCGTCGGTCCCCCCTGGAGGGCAGCCCCCTGTGCCCCCACCCATCCCCCCACCCGGCATGCCCCCCGTTGGGGGACTGGGGCGCGCAGCCTGGATGAGATAACCTGACGCCTTCCCCCACTTTTCTTTTTTAAACAAATTTTTCTAATCAACTTGAAGGGTAGTTGAAGTAAGCAGCAGGGTACCTTGTATAATGCTAGACAGGTGCAGCAGAGGACGACGTGGTGGTCCTCCCCACCTGGGACAGGTGGGGACAGGGATTGGGACAGTGGCTGCCAGCGTAGCCCGAGCGGCACCCAGAGCCACCGGCCGCGTGCTGGTGCCCACCAAGGCCGGAGTGCTGCCCCGGGTGACTTTACACTAGTGAAAATGCAACCGGCCATATTGGCTCAAGAAATAGCATCCGTGAGGAGTGAATTTCCTTCTAGAAATCAGTGCCTAATTTTCCTGGATACTCCATTTTAAATAGTCCCGTTCCATCTGAAGTCGCGCTGTCGTCATCGCTGTCATTCTGTTTGTTCTCTCCCGTGACACTTGGTCGGTCAGAGGACCACTTTTCTGATTTAGAGATATACATACTTTGTATGCAAGTTATTTTGAAGGGGTTGCCTGGTGGGATGGCTTTTTTCTTTGTCCTCCAGGAAGGCGAGGGAAGTGCTTGGGAAGTAACGTATGTTTACATCGATCTGCAAATTCCTGTACATAGAGATATATTTTTTAAGTGTGAATGGGACAACCTACTCTGAATCCCATCTTGGTTACAAACGAGACTCCTTCAGTCAGTTACCCAAATAAAAGCAGTTCTGAAACCTTTGTCTGTTTCCTGGCTGGGAGGTGAGGCTCGGGCCTGCAGCCCGTGGGCAAGGGGCGGGATCCCCTTCTGGCCGCCTCCAGCTTGAGCCCGCCTCAGCTCCGTGGGGGGCCCTGGGGTTCTGGCCCAGCTCGGGGCTGTCAGCCTGCACAGACCTGGGTTCCTGAGTCAGAAGAGGTTCCTGAGTCAGATGAGGGTTTGAGCTCAAAATCCTGTTTCTGACCTATGGCTACACAGAGGCCCCTGGGGTAGCAGTTAGTGGTCCCAGCCGCCCATGCTGAGGGGTACAGCTGCGTGCTCTGCGGCCGCCCTCCTGAGGTACAGCCCTCTGCCCGGCGGCCCTGCCTGCCCCCCCCCCCCCCACAAACAGGCACTGCACACCCACTGCGGAGGCTTGCAAAGAGCCTTTATTTATCTAGCGCAAAGTATACACTGTCACACTCTTCTGTTACCTTGTACTAAAATAGCTCAATGTTTTTACCACACTATCAAAAGGTTCTATTTCTTTTCGCTCTTCCCCCCAGTCAAAGGGGTTCGATGGAAGGTAGAAACGGGCTGGAGCCGGGAGGGGCTGGCCCCCGCCCTCAGGGGTCACATCCTACAGAAAACACAGCGTGGCTGCGGCGTGGGGACGGGAACCGGGCGCTCCGGCCAGTTCCGGAAAGCGGCGGACCCTTCCTCCGTCGTGAAAAATATACACCTCTACCGCTCTGCAGTCATGCGTTGTTTAAAAAAAAAAAAAAAAATCAGTAGTATTTTGTTTCCTCTCAAGTTTTCAAGAAAAAAAAAAGTGAAAGGTCACTTTTTAAACACTGATGTGTGGAGCTAACCACTCCCGGATAGAAACACGCCACCCCAGGAAATGTGCGCGGCGGGCCGCGGGCCCAGGCAGGCGTGGCGGCGCCTGGGGGCGAGGCTGGAAGGACGGCCTCTGTCACAGTGGGAGCTGGGCCCCGGGGCAGGCGGCCCCGTGGCTTCAGGGTCTAGAAGCGGGGCGGGGTTTGGAATGGAAAGGGGCCTTTAGGAAAGGACACCAAGCTCACCAACACCCCCACCCACCGTGAGCTTTTAGAGCTAAGGCTCCCGAGGGGAGAAGGGTCACCTGGTGACACCCCTACACACCCACCCCCGTCAGCGGCAGAGCTGGCCCCTGGCTGCCCCTGGGCTGAGGCCCCTCGGAGCTCCCCCGCCCCCACCAGCACCCAGCCCCACCCCACAGCTGTGAAGGGACCCAGTGCGCGGTCAGGCAGAGCTGCTGCTGCTGCTGCAGCTTTTCCACGGCTGATTACACCAGCGAGGTGACCATCACAGTCACAGTCCTGCCCAGGAAGCCACCCCACGCCATGCTGGCAGGGGGACATGGGCAGGGGGGCACGGGAGGATCTCCGCACCAGCTCGTCCTGCCTACGTGGCAGGCTGGAGGGCTCTGGCAGGAACGCTGCCCTGCTACCCGGGCGCCACCGCGGCCCGGGGCAGCGTTGCTTCCCCCCCCGGAGGGGGAGGGTCCCTGGGAGGCCACCCTCCCCAGGGTCAGCTTCTGCAGGTGCCAGCGGACCTTCCTTATTGCTTATTGTCGGTTGTGGCCGAGCCAACCTGACCCAAACATGGCGAGGGGCTCCCAGACATGGCTCCCACCGAAATGGACCCAGGGCCCCCGCTGCTGTGGCTCTCTGGACTCCAAGACCAGATCGGGGCCTCTGTCTCCCAGCTCACTGCCCACCCGGGCAGTGATCACGCAGTGCCATGACCAAGGCTGCCCACCCTGCTCCAAGTGCATGCCCCCCCATGACAGGGAGCTCACTACCTGACCTGATGGAAAGTTCCTTCCAGAAAGAGCCCAGGGCAGGAGGGACACGCCTGCGGCCATTGGCAGGGCCCCCTCAGCTCCCTGGGAACGAGGAGGGGTGCACGCCTTTCCCCTGAGAGTGTCACCCCAAAGGCAAATGGACAGTGGGAGCAGCTGGGTCCTGGCCCCCGTCCCTCACACGGGCCTGGACAGAACTGCCTGATGCAAAGCCAAGCCCCCGGGGCCTCGGGAGGCTGCCGCAGCCCTCAGTGTCGCCGGAACAGGGAGGTCCGAGGATGGGCGAGAAGCGAGTGGACGCCAGAGCCTCCCAACGGCATCAAGGGGCCCTGCCTGCCCCCAGGCCCTGGGGTCTCACCGGCGGGGAGCCACGGACCGCCTACCCCTCTGGGCCTCCTCTTCCTCAAACGCTAACTTGGAAACACGTACCGCACTTTACAGTGTATACCCGGCCATGTACACCGACGGTCTCATCCGACCCTCAGAGCCTGCAAGGAGCTCCTCGCGCCCCCACCCCACCTCAGCGGGCTCGGGCAGGGCAGGGCAGGGCAGGGGGACGGTCCACCGGATGATGAGGCAGCATCACGCGGCAGGGGCCCAGCCCCCCAGCCGCCCCCTGCCGGTGACGCCGTCAGCTGCAGTGCCGAGAGCACAGGCGTGGCCGAGAGCACCGCCAAGGCGGCCCTTTGCACCAGGGGCAGAGAGAGGCTGAGAGAGGGTCACGCAGCAAATTGCAGCCAGAGCCAGGTCAGGCCCCTTCCCAGGAGGGCAGAGCTCCTGTCACTGGCCCTGCGGCTGTCCACAGGGAGCGAGGACAGGGCGCGGCTCCGGGGGACACCACGGCCGACCGGAGGCCAAGGCGTGACCCGGTGTGACCCGTCTGGAGAGAGGGGGCATGTGCGGCTCAGCCCGGGGCCTCTGCTCGGCCTCCCTGTGCTCCTGGCCCCTCGTGAGAACCATGACGATGGAGATGCCCGGGCAGGGAGCCACCGAAAAGAGAAGGCACCCCTGGCTCAGGGCAGGGTGACACTGGGGGGTGGGGGAGTGTGAACCCTAAAACCAAGTGGCAGCCGGCAGCAGGGGAGCAGGGCACAGGCCAGGGGAGGGGCCTCGGGAGCACCCCGTCCGGGACTCAGGGGACCCGGTGCTTCGGGAGCCAGCGTCCGGGTGACGGCAGGCGGATGAAAAGCGCTACCCGCACCATGCCCCGCTGCCAGTAGCCTCGGCCCAGTGCGGTGGCGGCCGGGGCATGCAGGAAGCAAGGGCTGGAGGAGGTGCGGGCCCAGCCCGCAGGGTCCCGGGGCCTGGCGTCAGAGAGCAACCTTCCGTTCTTGCCCGGGGAGCTCGACGCCGGGGCCTGGAGCGGGAGCGGCCGCCCAGGCCACCAGGCTGCAGGGAACCGCGGGCAGCAGGCGGCCTCCCGGCTGCCCGGTTTGCTGGTGTGAGAGATGGGGGTGATGGGGGGCCCGGCCGGCAGCGTCCTATGTACAGTCCATCCCAGAAGACGACAGCGGCTCAGCCGGAGGGCCCGCCGCCTCCCCTGGGGGCCCCGGGCAGGGAGAGTCCGTGATCACGGAGGAGGGGCCCTACAAAGGCCCCTTGAACTGGTTCCCAGACAGGTGCTGCCGGATGGAGGGCTTGGAGCTGGCGGCGTCCCCCAGCTTCCTCCAGACCACCTGTGCGGAGAGGCCGGCTGTGAGTGCAGGGCCCGTCCCGAGCCCGCCCACGCACCCCCAGAGCCGCGGGGCCCGGAGGGGAAACGGAGGCCCAGGCTTCGCACATCCACCCTCGTGGCCACCCGAGAGAACCGTGTCAGGGAGACGGTCAAGGGGTGAGTCCGTCCCTCCCAGGCAGCCCCAGCCCCGCAGGCCCCAGAGTTGGGGGACCACCTGCACCTTCGGTCTGAGCGCCACCTGTGTGGCCAGCAGTCAACAGGGGCCCCACCCAGCTGGGAGGCCAGCCGCCAGTTGCCTGGGACCGGGCCTGAGGTCAGGACACACAGGTTAAACAGGACCCTTCCTGCGGGCAGGGGCACGCTCCCAGGACAGACTGACCTGCCCAGCCCAGGGACCTCCATGCTCGAGGGGGCAGGGGGCGGTGAGGACAGACCTCGGGGACGGCCGCGACCACGCCCCCCGTCAGGCCCGGACGCCCGCCCGGGGCACTCACGTTGCACATCTCTCGGACAATGGCCTTCTCCTTCTCGCTCAGGTCCTCCTCACAGCTGTCCTGGAGCTGCCGGTCCAGGTTCTCGTGCACCTCCAGGACCTGCAGGAACAGGGCCCGGGGGCCAGGGTGCGGAGAGGCCTGAGGGCCGGGCCCTCCCTCCTCCCTCTGAGCCCACCCCCCTCAGCCCAGCGACACTGCAGACACCACACAAGGGAAGCAGCACCCCCGTGGCGGGCGGCTACCTCGCACAGGTGGCCTCCCTCCCACCCAGGGCCCGGCGTGTGACTACTGAGCAGAAGGGTCGAGGACAGCACCCACTCGTGCATGTGGCCGGCGGGGGGTGGGGGGAGGGTTGGAGAGTGCGTGGGGGCTCAGGGGGTGGGGGGCAGCCGACCAGCGGTGAAGAGCAGCGGGCCAAGGAGACCGGGGCTCCAGTCCAGCCCTCGACTCTGACCTGGAGGCAGTGCCTGCCCTTTCTCTACACCCGTGGGCCTCAGTTTCCCCAGGTGCAGGGAGGACAGATAACGTACTTGCTACGGCCCCCCAGCCCCCCGGAGTCCCCCCCCGGACAGTGTTCCAGGCCCGACTCAGACAACCCCGAGGGACACGTGGCCCGCAGGGCAGCAGCGGTCAGGCTCCTGGGGGGCGGGCACTGGCCCTCACCTTCATCGCGTGCACCACGGCCTCGGGCTTCTGTCCTGCGGGGCTGTAGACGGCCGAGGGGGGCGAGGACAGCTCGGGCACGGGGCAGCCCGGGCCCTGTGGGAGGGAATCACGGGGCTTAGCGCGCCCTCCAGAGGCCCAGGTGGTGGCCACAGGTGTGACCAGCCCTGAGTGAGGCCCCTGGCTCCGCAGGGCCCGGGGCCAGGCGGGAGGAAACAGGGGAGGCTGATGGGGAGGGGAGGCAGGTGCGCAGAGCGTGCCGGGGCTGAGGGGCGGCACCTGGAGCCCACCACGCCGCCACGCGGGCTTCTCCACGGGGAGCACGTGCAAGGTCTACCACCCACGCAAAGGCAGCTCACAGGGCCGGGGGGCAGCGGAGACACAGAGAGCCCCTGGCAGACCCCAGGTGTCCCGACCCCAGAGCCGCCTCCCCTCCCCCACGGCCCCGTGGCTGCAACACCTTGACTCCACCCCCCACGCCCCAGGGTGGTAAGTCCCTTCCCGCCCCGAGCCCTGCCTCCTGGCCCGGTCTGGCCACCGGACTCGGCACACACTCTAATGGGCAGTTACGTAGCAAACTCCCATACCAGACTCGGGGGCCCAGATGGGCCAGGTGAGGAGGGGGCCCAGCCTCTCGGTGCCTTGCCCGCCTGTGGCAGAGGTCGAGTGTCTGCCCAGGGCCTTCCAGCTTCTCCCCACAAGGGTCACTGGCCCAGGGAGCTGGGTGCCGGGCTTTTGTCTTGGGCTGTGAGAAGGACCCTGGATTCGGGGCCCCGTGGGAGAAACTCAAGGATGAAGGCCCCAGGCCCACGGGAGCCAGGTGTGCAGAAGACCTGGGAGTGGGCCTGAGGGGGTCCAGACAGAAAACACCGGGAGGGAGCGCCGCCAGCCTGCGAGCCTGGGGCAGGGAGGGGGCCTCTAAGCTGGGCCACCACGCGGGTTCCCCAGGCCCCGCCCTTCTTCCTGGAGTCTCCGTTTCCTTCCCTTCCATGGGCCGATGGCTCCTCCAGGGCCCCAGCAGAATGCATGGGCTTGGCTGAGGGTCACCGTCCTGGGGTCCTGCCCATCCAACCATGCTGTGCGGAGACCCTCAGGGCCCAGAACCTTCTGCCCAGCAGCCAACACCCACTCCCCTCCCCCCACCTGCCTGCCCCCAGGGCCTCGCAGGCTCCCCCTGCAGCCAGCAGCAGGAAGGCAGGGACCCCCAGCCTTGCAGTCCAAAGAAGCTGGGCTTGGGTGAGGCTCTGCTGGCTGTGGCTGGAGGCAGGGCCTGACCCACTCTGCCTCAGTTTCCTCATCTGGACGACAGAAAGGTTCCCCGGGTCCCAGGGTGTGTGCAGAGCCCTGGATGCCGCCTGACTTCAGCCCAGGTGCCTGGCCTCTGGTGCCCAGGCCAGGTCTGTCATGTGAAGGGGGCAAAAAGATCTGGGCGCTCTGGGGGTCTGAGGCAGGTGGAAGGCAGGCCACACACAGGTGAGTGACCTGAGGCAGAAAGCTGCACTGCCCCCATCGGCCAGGAGGGGGCGACAGCCACACGTGTACGGGCAGGCACCCAGCTCTTGGCGCCTTCGGCCTCCTGTCCTGTCCGCACCTGGGGCTCCCAGAACAACCTGCTCTGTAAGGGGGCCGGCTCCTGGAGCAAAGGCAGGAGGGACGCCAGGAGCAGCAGCCTGGAAAGGCTGTGCAGAGCAGCCCTCTCCTGGCCAGCATCCCCGGGCCAGAGCGTGGCCTTGGGAGCCAGTAAATGCAGCCACCACTGGACAAACAGTATGCACCAACAATATGCAGCTGGGGCCGTTTCCCCGGCACAGGACCCCCCCACGCACAGCCCCCCCCCCCCCCGCCCCGGAAGGCCTCCCATGGCTTCTGCCCACTCAGTTCTCACTCCAGCCCTCCGGGCAGCCGCCAGCTTCTCACATCCCCATCGTCCAGCTGGGGAGAGCAAGGCTGCGTGGCTTGTCAAGGCCGCACAGCTAGTAAAAGAGGGGGCTGGGCCTCGAACCCGGGTCTGTGGGACTCCAGAGCTGGAGCCCCAGGAGAGGAGACCAGAGTCTACCCAAGAGAACGGAAAACCTCCGTCCCCACAAACACCTGGCCAGGAATGCTCACAGCGCCACTGGTCACAATAGGGAAAAAAAAGAAAAAGGGAAAAAAAGACAAGGCACAAATCCACAGCAATCGGTAAATGCATAAACAGAATGCATGCCCATGCAGCGCACTGCCCTTCAACGATAAAAAGGGGTTCGGAACGGATACACGCTGCAGCGTGGACGGCCCTCAACACGGGGTGCTCAGCGAGAGACGCCAGTCACAAAGAGCCGACCGTGTGTCGTGGGACCCTCACCTCCATGAGGGGCCCAGAACAGGCAGATCTGTAGAGGGGGTCCGTGAGTGGTTGCCCAGGGATGAAGGGGGGTAGGGAGGGAAAGGGAGGGGGAATACTAAGGAGAATAGTTCTGGCGGGGAGGACAGTGATAAAAATGTTCTCTTGTAATGATGACGCAAATCTGTGACTGTACCAGAAACCACTGAATTGTCTGCTTAAAAACAAAGCCCACAGACAAGGACACAGGAGGAGACCAGCTCCCCTGGAGGGCAGTGGGAAGCCTTGGTTCCTGTCTTGGGAGGTTGACGGGTAGCACCCACCCACCTCTGGGGACAGCTCCTTCGAAGGGGCCTGAGTAACCCCTGTAGCCTGAGGCAGAAGCCCCGCCCCCCACCCCACGGCCACCCAGGCCAGTGACCCTCGTGGGGGAGAAGCTGGGGCGGCCCTGGGAGACGCTGGGCCTCTGCCACAGGCGGGCAGGGGGCAGGACAGGGAGCCGGCAACCCACCTCACCCCCGTGGGCCCAGCTGCGTCTGCTCACACCTGCAGGCCTGACCAGCGCAGCAGCCCCGCCGGCCAGGCTGCAGAGCACGGGACAATTCGCAGATGGCCGAGAGGGCGTCAGGACACAGCACTCCACCACCAGAATGGACGGGGTGGTGGGGGGAGATGGGGTGGAGGAGCCACCCACATGGGTGTCACCGGCTCTTCCGGGCCCTTGCTCAGGAGGCGACCGGACCCTCACTCAGCCACGGGCTCCCGCCTAAACATCTGGAGCATCTGCTGCCGGCGGCCCTGCCGTCCGCACGGCCTGGGCAGCTGTGTGCCTGGACAAGGGGCGAGGGCCTCCGGGAGAAACAGCCCGCTCCGCCGGCGGTCACAGGCGTCCGCCAGCACCGAGGCCAGCGTGGCTCTGCAGGGGAGTCCTGATGGTCCCTGCTGGCCCCGGGGGAGGGGAGAAGCGGGGCCAGGACCCACAGAGTGACGCCGGGCTGGCCCCGACAGGCCGGGTCCCTGCCTCGCTGTGGCTTATGCGTGAGGTGAGCCCCCTGCGCGGCGCGGCACGGCACGCAGCAGACACTCGGCAAACGCTGGCTGTTCCTGCTCCGATCCTCTGCCGAGCTCGGGAGGGTAAGTGCTTCTTGGGCAGTGGCTTTCGGCGTAGTCACAGGTGGGCGCCGTCACAAGAGAACATTTCCACCAGCCCAGAAAGCAACCCCTCCCCCGTGCAGCCGCCTCCCAGCCCCCGGCCACCGCACGTGGACTCTCTGCCCCTAGCGATCCGGGCACGCTAGTCCCACGCAGGAGGTCACGCAGGCCTGGCAGACACGTCTCAGAGAGTCCGCGTCCCAGACAGTGGGCCCCATGCCACCCTCCCTGTCCTGCCAGGGCCGGCCGCACCCCGGGGTAACCCTGGGGGACCCTGTGGACAACTGCAGTGTGCCACCCCCACCCCCACCCTCGTCGCCAAGCCTGGGGTCGCGACCCCCATGTACACACCCAGCCCCACCCCGAGCACCCGCACCAGCCCTGCGTCCTCTCCCCACCACGTCCAAGGGCGGACGCAGGCCACGGGGTCGCACGGTGGGACGGCAGCTGGGCAGCCGCTCTCGTGGCCTCTGGACACTGCCCGGTGCCGCCACACCACCCCGCCACCCCGAGCCGGGCCTCCACCTCTCACTGCCACACGGGCCCTGACAAAGCTCTAGAAGGTGGGAGAAAGAGGAAGGCCAGGCCTTGACCTGCTACCTGCCCCTGACCCAGCTCGGCCACCAGCTGCCCTCAGGCCCCAGCAGATCGCCCACGGGTCTGAGCCCCCCACCCCTCCCCACTGGCCCGGGGACCGAGGGTTCCGGAGGCGCCAGGGCCTCGGGGAAGCAGTGGGACTCCCGGGGGAGGGGCACTCACGTTCTGCAGGACGTCCTGGTAGGAGGGGGGCAGGCTGGCGAGCTGGGACTCCGAGTGGTAGGGGGAGAAGCCTTTCCGCAGCGTCCGGAACTCCCCGGAGCCCCCCTGCTGCACGGGAGAGAGGGGCGCAGAGGTTAGACGGTGGGGGGGGCAGGGGGGTCGGGCGGAGGCGGCCGAGGACTGCGCCCCACTGGTACTAGCCGGGCCCTTGGAGCGGCTCCTCATGACCTTGCTGTGGTCCGCTCTGGACTCCTGCCGGGAGGCCCTGCGCACCCCCTCGACCCCCACCCCCTGCTGCAGCCCCTCACTCCCCATCCAGGCAGGTGCTTCCTCCTGCCCCCCCCCACCCCCGCCGTGCTGCACAAATGTGGGCAGCAGGTGAGTGACCAGGGCACGGTCTCCTGCCCCTTGACAATGTGGGCTCCAGCATCCCACACACTGGGGCTCCCCGCACCCTCCGGAACCCCCTCTTCCACAGGAAGTCCTCCTGCCTTCCATGGGTGCCAGGGCTCGCTGCAGAGTGAGCCCCTCACGGGGCTCTCTGCTCAGGGCGCCCCTTAGCCTCCACCATCGGACAGCAGCACCCAAACACAGGCCCTGGGCCTCACCCCTCTGCACCCACGGGAACCAGTGCACGCTGGGCCCCTAACTGATGCCCAGCGCGAGCTTAGGAGGGAGGGAAGAAAGGGTGAATGAGTGCGTGAGTGATGAGCGCATGAACACAGCTATCTGGCCTTATATAGCTTCCTGCAGGGCACAGCTGGCCCTTCCCCCACCCCTCCCGGCAGAAGCTGGCACGGGGGGCTGGCACCCAGGCAGGACACAGAGAGGACCAGGCAGCGGCCATGCTCCATCCCAGCCGGCCCGGGGGCCAGCTGAGCAGAAGCCAGGCCTCTGGGCCTTTCATGGCATTTCCGGCCCCAGCACCCTTTTGGACTTCAAAGGCACTGAGGGAAGGCCGCGGGGCAGATAACGGGCAGGGGAGAGTCCCATCAATCAGCAGGCCCTTGAGTTACCCAAACAAACCCTGGAGGGGAGGAGGTGGGGTGGGCCAGGGGCAGGGGCGGGGCCACGCCCTTCTTCCCCGCTCATCACCCCTTCACGGTGGCCCCCAAAGTGCGGCACAGTCTCACCAGGGAGCCTGGAGCACGACCATGGATGTTGGATACAACCGGGCAGCTGTGTGTCCGACTGTGGCCCTGTCCGGTCAGCCCGGGGCGCTGGAGCCCACTCGGTCTTTCCTCACACCCGGTCTGGATTCTGCTCTGGGCCGAGTCCCACCTCCTCCCGGCCTCCCTGGCCCTGGACCAAATGGGGTTCTGAGACAGCCCCCATGTCGATACTCAAAACACTGGGCCATGTCTCCTCCCTCGCCCCCCCGGACGGTTTCCTTGGGAGGAAGGGAGGGAGGGGGGAGTTTTTAATTAGCATCACGCAGTTCCCACCCCTGCCTTCAGTGACCGTCTATAAATATTGGCAGGCCCGTGTTCTGCACATCAGAACTTTATTAGCCAGCCTCAAAGCTGGTGGGGAAATGCACAATCTCTCATTAGGGGCAACGTGACTAATGACGCATCGAAATGAGGAACCATAATTGCACTTAGATCCAAATTAAAATCCTGGCATTTGCCTGTTAGTGCGCTGGAAGAAAGAGATCCCTAGGTTCTCCTTGCCGAGGGGAACGGAGCTGAAACGGCCTTGGGCGGGGGGGCTGGGCCTGCTCCTCAGGATCCCCCGAACCCTTAAAACAGAAGGAAACCGTCCAGGGCCGAGAACAGAGCACAGCCCACCCAGCCTGTCTCGTGCCCCCCAAGGGCGCGGGAGCCCTGTGGAGCGGGAGAGGCCCGGGAGGATGCAGGGCCTCCGAGGGCGCACTGACGGACACCCGGGCTCTGTCCAGGGCTGTCACTACGAGGCTGCCCGCTGTGGGGGCTCAGGCCACCCCAGCCTCCCTGGGCCTCAGCCACCTGCTTCCCGCCAGGCCTTCTGCTGGCAAAGCTGCAGGGACTCCCTTGGCCTCGCCCCCTCAACACCTGGGAGCACGGTCAGAGGGGGGCTGGACAGAAGGGGCCGTGGCGGGGCAGCCCCCGCCCCCCCGTCATGTGGGGTTCCTTGTTCGGGGGGCCGGCAGCTGTGGGCAGGCCACTTTCCGGGGTTTGTTCACTTGACCCCTCCTTCCCACCCCAAAGGACTCTGGCCCTGGAGTGGGACCCTCTGCTGCAGCACTTTTATGTTCAGGAAGCTCCTACTATGTGCTCCCCAGCTGGTGGTAGCGCCCGACTGTGGGCAGGGGCTCCAGGGTGAGCATGGGCACCGGAGGCGGGGAGCCTGGCCCCACCCAGCAGCCTGCTCACAGGGGACCGCCAGGAGCACCAGACCCCGGGGGGGAGGAGGGGGGGAGGAAGCCCAGCACTGGGCCCCAGGGACCTGTCGCAGGGACCTGGGCCAGCTTGGCCAACCCCGCCTCCGACCTTGCCCCTCGGGGCTGCCCCTGCAGGGTAGGGGAGACACTGACAGGTGGGGTGGGCCCTTGGAGAGCAGGTGAGAAGGGTCCCGGTGCAGCAGGTCCCGGGAGGGGGCCCAAGTGAGGGGACCCAGAGCAGATAGGGCACCACCACACAGCACTCAAGACAGCCCCACCCCCACCCCCAACACTGGGCACCCAAGGTCCGCCAGGCAGCTCTACCTGAAGCCAGCTCCTCGGCAGGGCGTGGGGGCAGGGCAGCTGGAAGGGAAGAGGGGTGGTGTCAGCCAGCACCCCGGGCCGCATCCCTCACCTCGGCCCCCTGCCCCAGAGACCCATCCGCCTAGAGCCTCCAGGGCCTCAGCTTGGCCGGAGCAGGTTTCCCACAGCAAGGGTGGGAGTAAGGGGGCCCCCAAGCACCTCGCAGGAGCCCCTCGTGTTTAAAGCTCCAGGTATAACAAGGACCGGCAGCGCCTGCCCCCCATGGACACCAGGACGCCATCCCCCTCACAGCACTCCCCCAGGCTCCCGCCAGAATGCAGCTGCCCCGTGAGAGGCCGGCTGGGGTACGCCCCAGGTCCCAGCTGCTAAAGAAGGCCGGGTGGGGACACCCCCCACTCTTCCTCAGGCTCCTCACAAACCTGATTCACTTTAATTTTTTTTCTTTACTTTGAGGAGAACTCATTAGCAGACCACTAAGAACACGGCGGGGCCCAGCGGGCCCCTCCCAACCAGGTGTCCCCGAGTGCGGCCGCCGTGGCACTCTCAGCTGGCACTGCTCCGTGCGCCCTGCGGGCCCCGCCGTGTCAGGTGCACGCCGCCAGGACCAACAGGAGCATGTGGACGAGGTCTCACCCGCCACCATGCCCGGCCCTCCCAGGGCCCCTGGGCAGGCCGCAGGGCCTCCGAGGAAGGGGGTGGCCCCTTGGGGGGGCATGGACTCCCAACCCCCATCACGTTGGGTTGGACCTGAGCAAACCAACTTTCGGGGTCTCTGCTTCACCTACACTGGGGTCCGGAAGGACACTCAGAGGCCCGCGTCCCTCCGTGTCTCCAGAGATCTGCCCTTGACCCTGGGGCGGGCCCCTCAAGTGCCCCCGTTCTGCAGATGAGAAAACGGAGGCACAGAGAGGCCCGGCCACCGGCCCAGGCCCCCCCCACCCCCTCCCACCCCCGTCCCCGGCTGGTACGCGGCCCTTGGCGGGCAGGAGCCGGACTCTGGCTGACAGCCCTGGGCCCGGCCTCTCGCCCCGCTGACTCTGTCCTTGCACGGGGCTCACGGTGGACACCGGCTCCGCCTCGGGCAAGGGGACAGAGGAGAAATTCCTGCCGTCCTCCTGCCCCTGTTGCCAGATTGCCCATCTGCTCAGAGGCTGGAAAGGGGCTCTCCTCCCCGGCTAAGGAAGAAGCCGGGCTGGTTCTGAGGTTTGTTAATGAAGCACTTAAAGAGACCACATGCCCCCAGCGAAGGGGGTGGGGGTGTGACGGCCGACCCCAAACACCAGACAGGTGAGGGGAGCGGGAACAGCCCGGAGACTCTTGTCACAGGGGACACCAGCGAGCAGAGCTGCCACTGCCAACCCCCCCGCGCCCCCATCCCCGGGGCTGCATCTCCAGAGGCCTTGGGCAAGCGGACCCCTGCTCAGACGGCCGGTCCTCCTCAGGGGCTTGAGACATGGGCTTAGACGGTGCAGACCTGTCCCCGCTCCCCCAGCCCAGAGGGTTCAAAACTCAGACAAGGGACAGAGGAACGTGGTTCACTCGGAGACGGGCAGGCCCAAGCCACAGGCCAGGTGGCTCGGTCTGCCAGACCTCGGAGGATCCCGGGACCCGGGGTCAGGGGAAGGCGGGAGAAGAGCCGCTGCCCGAGGCGTCCCTGGGGCTGGCTTACAGTCAGAGCCACAGGCGCCGCGGTGGCCTCGCCGTCATCTGTCTCATGGGGGAGGAGGCCGAGACCCCGGGACATGCAGAGTTCTGCCGAAGCCCCAGGCCGGCTGAGAGCTGGCTCGGGGATTCTTCCAGGACCCAGAGCCACCTTCTCCCGGGTCGGGCGACACAGCAGGGCCGCAGGCTGAACTGGGGCCTCCCCGCTCACGTGTCCTAACCCCCAGGACCTCAGGACACGGCCGCTTTGGAGATAGGCCCTCACAGCAGTGACCAGGTCAAAATGAGGTCATCAGGGTGGGCCTTAATCCAGAGTGACCGTGTCCTCCTATAGAGCAGAAACTGGAACACGGACACCCACAGAGGGAAGTCTCAAGCCAATGGCAGAGGCCTGGGCCGGATCCTCCTGTCCCCGCACTCAGACAGAACCGTCCCTGCCCGGACCTCGGACTTCCAGCCCCCAGAACTGTGAGACAGTACACGTCACTGGCTCAAGCCCCCCCGACCCCATGTGGTGTGTGGTCAGGGGCAGCCCCAGCAGGCGGATGCAGCCACCCACGCCAGGCGACCTGCCCCGACCGGGCCTCGGTTCCCCCACCAGCTGTGCGTGGTGTGAACGCTGGGGTCACTTCCGCCCTGTGTGGCCTGGCAGGGTGGGGGTGCTGCGGTAAGGAGGGGCACGGGCAGGCTCGGGGCGGCTCAGCCAGGAGCCTGGACCACTGCCAGCACACCCCCCCCAGGCGCGGCCCGCTGGCCCCACCAGCGGGGGGGCGGCATCGTGGGCTCCTCACACTCCATGGCGCTGGCTGCTGGGTGCACCTGTGCCGGCCCAGCAGGGCCCTGACCGAGGGAATGCAGCGCCCAGGCCTCAGCACCGACCCCAGGGCCCCAGGACCCCAGCGCCCCGGCGCCGCCGGGCCCAGAGAGCCCACGGCAGGGGAAACAGCAACGGGTGCGGGGGCTCACGGGGCGTCAGCGCCGAGGCGGCAGCTGTGTTGATGAAACGTTAGAGCTGACGGGAGAAAGAAAATACGAACTGGAATACAGTAATTCAGCCTGTGAACGCTCCGGCACATTTTTAATTAAAGCTATTTTGGAGTTAAATAGAGGCCATGGGGGGGGTGCGGGGGGGGGCAGCGGGAAGTGGGAATCCACGGCGGCTCCCTGCCCTCCCACCCAAACCCCGCAGCCACGTCCCCTTAAGAGAATTCAAAGAACAACACTGCTCTCCCCGGCTCTGTGCCAGCGGGCGGGTTCCTCGCCGTGCAGAGCCGGAGACTGCTGCGCAGCGACTGCAGCGCCGGCACTGCGGTGCCAGAGCCATAAAGCCTCACATGCCAGAGCTCGCGTGGCCTCGGCCAGCAGCCCGCCCACAGCAGCAGTATCTTCAAGGTTCCCAAATATGGCCATCCATCCGCCACTTGATTACTTCCAAAGATGATATGCTCGCTACCTTTTAAAGCAGTTCTCCCTTGGTTAAGCAGATGTTCCCTATTCTGGGCGAGAACCACACTCCCTCTTGGCCTAGGACTCTGGGTGGAGGGGTGGGTAGCCAGGGTCTCCCCAAGATACAACCACTTGGTCCAGCTGTGCTGGGCACTGGAGACACAGAAGTGACCATCAGACCCTGCAGTCTAGTCCTGGAGGAGGCTGGCCATCCAGCAGGGGTAGTGCCAGGCCCCCCACTGGAGGGGCCCAACGCCCACCGGCAGGGGCGGGCAGCCGCGGAGCGGAGAGCCCAGGATAAGCGCCACACCACTTGGGGTGGCTGGGAGGGCCGCCGGCAGCAGCCACACCAGAGCCGGGAACCGTGACCTGCAGGAGGCCGGGGGACAAAGGCCCAGTCACCCCCATCCTCCCTGGACCCCGGAAGAATAAGGCCAGCACTCTCACCGTGGGCCGAGTCCTGACCACCGGCTTCCCCCCCTCCCCCCGCCGTCCTCCAGCAGCGCCCAGTACACGGAGTCCTGCTGGGTGGGACAGGGAGGGGGCGGGAGGGGACGACCTCCAGGCCGGACAGCGGGTGTCCTGAGGGCAGACCTCCGCCTGGGCAGCCCCAGGGCCACATGCTCAGCAGGGGATCGCTTACACGCAGAGTGAGTGTCCAGTGTCCAGGGGAGCAGACAGCCTTGGGGACGGGAATGACTTGAGGGTCCTTAGGAGGCCGGTGCCCCCTGAGCCCCCCAGGAGTCCGAAGGCAAGCGAGGTGTGAACTGCCACCAGGGGCCTGCTCTCCCTGTCTCTCTGCCTCCCGCTCCTCCTGCGTGGCTCAGAGCACCAGTGCCCTCCTCCACGGCCAGCACCACCCACCCACCCTCCCTCAGGGCCAAGTTCTGGTGACAGCAGGTAGCAGGGGCAGCAGGAGCCTCATCCATGACCCCAGAGACACTGTGCCAAGGCCACTGGCTCCAAGTGCCCGTGCTGATTGAAGGTCAAGGGCCAGGCACACGGGCAGGAGGACCCCCAATGCACCTGCGGGGCTGAGGCCCCAGCACCATGCTGCTGCCCCCTTCCCAACACTGCTCCCTAAGGACCCCTGGGCAAGACCCCGCCCACCCGCAGAGCCCCTGCTGAGGAAGACACGAGGGATGGGACCTGACCGGCCGCCCCCCGTGACATACACAAGCCCACACAGCTGCCACCAGAGCAACTCAGCTTCGCAAGGCTTCGTTCAGGAAGAAAGAAAAGTCCCACAGAAATAAGACACGTGACCTTCCATGCTGGGTGGTCTCTGAGTCCCTGGCACCCCATTCCGTTCCGGCAGCGAGCAGGCAAAAGCACGTGCATGGCCCCAAACCCCAGTCTAACCGCCCGCAGCCAGCAGGCATGGGTGTGGGCTGAGGGGCTGAGGGGCCGCGGTGCCACAGCCCCTCCTCTGATGATGTCTGGCCCGGTGTGGGAACAGATGGGGGCCGAACCCCACGGCGCTGCCTCCAGGCCACGGCCCCCAGGCTGGCCCCCCGGGAGAGGGCAGAGCTGGCTTGGGAGGGGGAGTGGCTGCCATCCCCCCGATGCCCCAGACACAGGGCCCCTGTCCACCTCCACCTGTGCACACCTGGGCGTGGGGCCGGGGGACACAGACGTGGGGCTCCCTGGTGAAACCAGGGGGTGCCCGCAGGAAGGAAGACGAAGGGCTGCCGCTTTGCGGCCTGAGTGTGTGCACGTTTTCCGACAGGTGCACGGCCAGGTCCAACACCTGGGACTGGGGCGCGTCTGCCAGTGGACAATGGGGCCTAAGGCAGCAGGGGCCGGGAGTCAGGGACACCCCCCTCCTTGCAGACGCAGGACCAAGCAGCGCTTCGGCGGGACTGCGGAACAACGGCCCCAGTTCGGAGCTCACGCTCCCCCCAGCTCCTCCAGGGGCCAAGGGACAGAGGACGGGTAGGCTGGGGCGGACTCGCACGGCCACCAGGTGTAGCCTTGGCCTCCATCCCGCCGCACAGCTGCGGGGGCAGCTCTTTCCCTCTGCGCTGGCCGGGCGCCTGCTCCCAGGTAGAGGCCCTGAGCCTGTCTCCCTGGAGTCCACTCCGTCACTTCTGCCACAGCGCCCGCAGCCCCCCCACATACCCCTCCGCAGCAGGCATGGCCGGCCCAGGTCAAGTCCACGTGGAAGGTCAGGTCAGAGGAGCCCTGGCCCACAGCCAGGTAAGACCCCAGCCCCTCCCTGCCCTCGCCAGCCCCTGGAGCTGGTGCGATGCAGAACCTTGGACTACCACATACAGTTACAAAACTGGCCTTGCAGTGCAATACCTTGGGGGTGGTGGGGTGAGGGGGGCCCTAACCCAGATGTGTGCTCTGCCAAGCCCCGCTGGGCCGAGGGAAGCACCCACGAGGCCGGTGCGAGGTGAGGTCTGGGGACTGTGCACCACGCCTGGTCCGTGAGTCCCCGGCCGCCCAGCCAGCAGAGAGGGTGCCGAGGGCTTCCTGAGCGGGGCAGTGGCACCACACCCGCTGGTCACCTAGCAACAGGACCAGGCAGCTGAGCCCCCACCCCGCCCCCAGCCGGGCCTGGTTCCCAGAGAGATGCTCTGGGCATCCCAGCCAGGGCTGACCACAGCCTGCCATCACAACCCCTGCCCCGACAGGACAGGCCCCTCGTGCCGACAGGCGGGCCCGCCGTGGTCCAGCCACTCTGCCGTGCTCTGCCCTCACTGCCGAGTCTCTGACCCGCCGTCCCTGTGCTGGGCCACACTGGGGATGACACTCGACTCGGTGTGTCCGTGGGCACCCGCCAGGCCCAGGAGGGAGAAGGATGGACCCCAGCCCCGAAAGGATGGGGGGCGGGGGAGCAGGAAGGCTTGCACGTGGGTCTGAGCCGGGCCTGCCGCCCCAGCTCTGGGGCCTCGGTTCACCCGCCTGCCGCGGGGCGAAGCCGCCCACTTCCTCAGCGACTGGGAGTCCACACTACCTCCGGGACAGGCCCAGTGTGGCGCCCGGGAGACTGAAGACCACCGGGGGACAGACAGTGCAAGGACATGACGGAGGGACCCCCAAGACTGTGGAGCAAGGGTGGGTGCTGGCGCCCCGGGAGGTGGCCCGGAGCAGGAGAGGCAGGCCGGGGGGAGGCCGCAGGCATGACGGGGGAAGGGGCCCAGGTAAGCAGGGGAGACAGGGGGGTGCGGCTCACGCTGCTCCCAGGTTGCAGCAGCCGGCCTACCTGTGCCAGGAGCTTGTCACCCTCCAGCAGCTTCACCTTGGTCTCCAGCTGTCTGGCGTAGGCGGACGAGGGATCTGCAACAACACGAGGGCACGTGCGCCATCAGCCTCGGTCACCAGGAAGAGAGCCGCCCTCCCCTCACCCCTCACGGAAAAGGTGAGTCCGAAGGACAGGGCAGGCCGGCAGGGGCACCGACCGCCTGCGCAGGGCAGAGGCGGGCTCGGAGGGGAGGGGAGGGGAGGGGCGGTCAGCAGCCCCCTGCTAGGGACGGTCTGCGCACCACCTGTCCTCATGAGCCCCCGAAAGAGCTCACTCTCCGTGCCAGCCTGGACCCTGTGTGCCCCCAGGCCAGTCACTGCTCCCCAACAGGACACAGGGTCTTCCCAGAGGACACGCTGACGCTTTATCTTAGAAACAAAGCCAGCTCCGTGACCCCCCACACTGCCGCCTTGGGGACACAGGGAAAAGACCCACTGGGCTTTTAACATTCCTGGAGGGGGCCGGGGGGCTGGGTGCTGCCGCGGGAGGAGCTGGACCCTCACACACCCGTGGGAACACACAAGTGCATGGCTGGCTCCTCGGCGCCCTCACGGATGACAGGAGTGTCCCCCACTGGCACCCTGCAGGCCTGGGGCGCCAACAGCCCTCTCCCCAGAGCCCCGTGACCTTCCTGAACCAGGGCTTGGCCCAGCCCCAAGAGTCCCCGCCCACCGGCAAGGCCACCCCCAGGTACGAGAGGCTTTGCCTGCAGAGGGGCCTGTTTGCCCTGGACCCACCCCACCATGCCCCTTCAGCACCAGGAAGCACCCTGGCGGGGGCGGGGGCGGGGCCCTCCCAGCCAGCCCTGGGAGGAGTGATGTTGTAAAAGCTCCGGGCCCAGCCCCAGGCAGGAATGGAAGGAGCCATCCCCACCCACTCCCTCCTGGGGATCAGAACCAGCTCCTCCCACCCAGTCACCTCTCAGGAATCCAGAGCCTCCTGGAGAGAGAAAGGGTGGCTCCCCACCAGGCCGGCCCACACGGCTCCAGGGGTGACACTGGGTGACCCCAGGCAGCTCCGCCCGGGAGGCCTGTGGGGGCCGGGTGCTCCCCACACTCGCTTCCCCCCACCCCCCGGAGAGCTTCCCCTGACCGCCGAGGGAGGCGGGTTCAGAGAGGTAAAGAGGCCCACGCAAAGCGCAGGGCAGCGCAGAGGTGGGACCGGACCCCGGGCCGTGACCCCAACGGCAGCCCCACCGGGATGCTGTGCGCAGGCCCAGCTCCGGCCGATCCCTCCCTCCCGGGCGGCAGGCCTGGTGGCCAGCCTGGGAGGCCACGGCTGTGACAAGGCCTTGCTCTCGGCCTTCTTTGGCCCAGGGTCACCACAGTCCACGCCCCATGCCTGTCCCCAGCCTCAGTGCACTCATCGGTCACCCAAAACTGATGAGCAGTCCCCACGTCCCTTCCCACAACCCACCCACGCAAACAGGCCTGATGGGAAAGGCCCCAGTGTTCAGGGCGTGCTGGGCACAGGGAAGGAGCTGGGGTACGGCCTGGGCTCCCCAAACCTGTGTGCGCCCTCTGCGTGCTGGTCGCAGGAGGGTTCCCCGGAACACCAGCCGGGAAACAAGGGACAAGAGGAACTGCAGAGGCACTCCCAGCTCCCTCGTCCGCACAGGTTAAGGCAAGGAGGCCCAGTGTGGCCTCCCTCTACGAGGGGTTGGTAGAAGGGGGGAGGGAGAGTGGGGGGGGAAGGGACCCCCAGGTGACACACGGCAGCCCCTGCATCAGGCAAGGGTCAAGCAGGCGTTGTCCCCACTTCCCAGAGGAGGAGGGGGCCACGAGGAGCACGGGGTCCGCACTCCCTGGCAGGGGAGCGGAGGGACTCGGGCCCCAGGCCCGCCCCCAGAGGTCGGTGCTGCAGAGGCCAAGCCTGGCCACTCAGAGCAGCGCCGCCGGAAGCTGGCGGCCGCTCCCAGAAGGGAGACTCGGTTCCTGGTCAAGCCTCCCCCCTGGACGCCCCATCACTGCCCAGGCTTCCGGGGCGGCCGCAAGCCAGCTCCCTGGGCCCTGAAGCGCCTGCCACCAGGCACAGCCCCGAACTCCGGAGAGGGGCCACCGGCCCTATCAGGTCCCCAAGTCACACACAGCCCTGCTGGGCCACGGGGCCTTTCGGATGACGGGTGTGCTACCCACCCACAGTCTCCGGGCTACAGGGACGGTGTTGCCTCTTTCTGCCATTTCAAGGCGGGGGGGTGGGGGGGGCAGTCAGGAGCAGCCAGCAGTTCCCTTCTGCTCGGACGCAGCTGGGGTTGTGGCCTGGCACGGAGTCAGCAGACCTGCCGCGAGCTGCAGCATCCTCGCTGGGCAGCAGGCAGACGGGCGGGTGGGCGGGAGGATCACGCCACTGCTTCCGCGTGAGCTGGCCGGCCCCACACCCAGCTCCCAGGACAGCAGGGAGGAAAAAAAGTGTGGGGACAGGAGAGGGACACAGGCCAAATGACCGGACAACACCCGCAACCCCCCCACCCCGCTGCACACTGCCAGCACCAGACCGCAGGGTCCCCTGGCCACAGCTGCAGGCCAGCTGTCCTCCCTGACCACCCCACGTGGGCACCGGCCCGAGGCCACGGCTACCGTCCTTGTGGCTCTGCCCCCAACCCCAAGTGGCCGCAGAGAACATAGCACACCTCAGACCACCGCCGGGTGCAGGGGCTTCGTCTGAATTCCGAAAGAACGAGAGGAGAGCCTTAAACTCTTCTGAATCACCCGGTAATTCCGGCGGGGCGGTGTTTACCCTCAAGCATTAACACTAATGGGAGAGAATGCAGACAGCGGGGTGCCCGGCTGAGCGAGCCACGCCCTGCCATCACTGGGGGGTGTCCAGCAAGAGCTTCCCTCCCGCACGACGACGTGGGAGACGCCCCACCGCCGCCCACGGAACCAGCCGCACACGGAGGTAACTGCTCGTGGGAGCGCCCCTGCACGTGACGCGTCCACGCAGCGGCAGACGGAGCCAGGAGGGCGCGCCCGGACGCGCCGCCGGCCCAGCTGCCTCCTTGGAGGAACCTGCGATCTTTCCTTCATTCACACTATTTCCTGTTCCTTTGCAAGTAATCTACTTCCAGAAGAGGGAGAAACCTTTTTTTTTTTTTTTACGAAAAGGAGAATCGGTGAAATGACGGCACCGTCACACGCCACAGCCAGCCGTTGAGGTCACTTACGTTTTGAATCCAAGGGAGGCAGGAGGGGAGATGAGAGGGAGTCCGGGACGGCGGGCCCACCCCGCCACCCCCCTCTGCCCACTGCCCCCAGACGGGCGCCGGGGGCCCTCCCCGAGGCCCAGCCCCAGGCCTGCCCGTGCCCCTGGCGCTCCACAGGATCCCGGGCTGCCTCCCGCAAGTTCCCCATTGGCCTCCCCCGCCACACTGGACCCTGTCCCCACACGCAGCCGCATATGGCCAGGAGCCAGGGAGCAGGGCACCTGGCCGCCCAGAGCAGGTGCCCCACAACAAGGAAGAATGGGAGTGAGGCGGAACCTGCAGGGGCGGGGGAGGGGAGGACCCAGAGCGCAGGGACCCCGGGAAGGGCCTGGCACCGGGGGAGGACACGCCTTCCCAGCAGCCTCGGGCAGCTCCTGATCCCACCGGGCGCCTCTGAGGCCCAGCCTCTCCGAGACGAGTGAGCGTGTAATTAAATTAATCCCAGGGTTGGCACTAATGAGGAGAGGAGCCCCGGGGGAGGGAAGCGTCACTTCCCGGCCGCCTCGCTCCTTGCAGGGAAAGTGGGGGAGGTGACTGCAGAGGGGGCTCCTGGGGCTGGGCCGGCCACAGTGTCCCCTCGCGCCTTCCCCTGGCCCGACCTGGGCCCTCGGGGCCAGTTCCGGGGGATCCAAGATGCAGCTTCCATCCGGGCGGGAGCCGCCTGCAGCATCCTCACGTTCAGGCACCGGAGGAGCATCAGCCCTCGCTCCGCCCTCCTCGCACACCCTCTGTGCAGCCCCTGGCGGGCAGCAGCCCCCTGTCCGCAGGGTCTGTGAGCCCCTCCCCTCCAGAGCTGAGTCCTGGCGCTGACCATCAGGACACCCTGCCTCCTGGGGCGTGAGGCTGGGGCCAGGTCCCATCTCCCTTCCTGGCTGGTCCCCTCCCTGGCGAGGCAGTGTCCCCGCCACCCACCTCCCCTTTACTCCAGGCGGTAAGAATCTGGAGGCCCGAGGCCACATCCGACCACCCTGTAGCCTCTACCTCCCCTAGCTCAGCTCCCAGCACACAGTAGGCCCTCAGAGAAAGACTGAGCACCTAGCAGGAATTCACCCTGCCGGGTGGGTCAGGTCCTCCCACCAGCAGCGGCTAAGAGAGGAAGCCTCGTGGCGGCCTGAGCTGGTGCCAGAGGTCCTCGGACCACCCTCCCCGGCTCTGCACACTGTGTCTCAGCCGACCCCGCCGGGGGCTCACGTCTTAGTCTGGGTGAGACAGGACTCAAGAGCGAGCAGAAGGGAGCCCCAGGAACGTGGGGAACTGGGAGGGAGTGGGGGGGGGCGGGCCGAGGATGACAGGGGAGCTCTGGGATCTCAGAGTTACTGGAGAGCTCTGGTGGAGGCAGCTCCTGGCGGGAGGAGGCAGTGACACCTCGGCCCGTCCCGCCAGGAGAGTGGGCAGGGAGAGCCCAGGGCAGAGCCTCGGGCGCCAGCAGGTGGAGTGAGTGACGGCCACAGAAGCGGTCAGCGCCTCTGCCGTGTGGGCAGGGTGCCAGCAGTGTCTGGGGCGCTGTCACGGCGACACACAGTGAGTGACACATGGGGCCTGACCAGCTGCTGCCCCCCGGGCCCTGCCTCCCTTCCAGCCCTTTCCCACGGAGCAGAGGCCCCTCGAGGTCCCGGGTCTTGGGGACGGGAGGGCTCTGTGGCAGGTCATTAGCAAGAGAGCCGGCCAAGGCTTGCCTCGGGCGTCCTCTGCGGGGGCCCTGCGGGAGACGGCTGCTGCCTGTCCGTGAGGACGCCTGGCTGATCACCTCCCTTCTCTTCCCCCCTCCTGGAGAGGGGTGGGCGGCAGCGGCCGGCCGACGGCTCCAGCCCCATCGGGGCTGCGGGGCCTCAT